TTTTTATGCGTATTTGGCGCCACCTATTGTTGTGGGTGTATTATTGACACGTCAAAGTCTAGACCCTGAATATAAGATGACCGCGTTTTTTCAGATGTATTTCCAAGAAAAAAATATCGTCTTATATTCGGGACAATACGTAATAGAACAATTTCAGAATAACATTAAATAAATCCAAATTAAATTAACAAAATGAATCAAATTTATACATAAATGGTCTTGTTAAAGTGAAGTAAAAATTCTTGCAGTAATCACTGTTAACTATGTTTTAAGTTAATAGTGTAATACTAAGAGAGCAGTAGAGTTTACGGGACAAGTCTGACTGTACATTTGACCTTTTCCACATCCAGACAGCATGACTCTGTCCATGGAGGGTTTTGGGCCGGATAGCGTGTTCACGATTAACGAGGACAACAGCCAGTACCGGATCAGCCGAAGTCTGGTGCGATCGGCTGAGGGCAGCACTGTGCCCCTCACCCGAGTCAAGTGCCTGGTCTCCATGACAACGCCCCATGACATCCATCTCCATGGATCGTCCGTCACGCCCGCCTTCGTGGAGTTTGACACGTCATTAGAGGGATTCGGGTAAGGCTGCCAGCGCTGATCTAGCCTATATCTAATGAAGATCAAGATTTGTTTGCACAATCACTGTTTGTAAGCAGACATCCGTTTAGGCATCAGAGATTTATTGGCTTCAATTCAGAATGTGTTTACCAGATATATGCGTCAATCAAAAATTTATTTGGTGTTGTGCTTTTAAAAGCTTGACCTAGTTTAAAGCTCACTGAAAAACAGACTTGAAATGCGCTTACATCTCCGAACGTATCGCAGTTCAAAGCGCAACAAAGAATCCACACTGAGCTTCCATCTGTTTCTGTTTAACATAATCCCATCAGGGTATGTGCTAAACTGAAAATAACAGATCTTTAATATTTCATCTTTTTCATTAATTATGAAAGCACAGTGATCATCATTTGTATTCTTTCCAAATGATTAGCTGCTTAAATAGGAGATTTATGTGTATGAAATGGGTCAACGGTTCAGTTTTTGCACCCAGCACACATAACAGAGACCCAAATGCTTCAAGTGATATTGGTTGTGCACAGATTGAATTTGGTTAGTCTCCCAGAGGCCTTTCTATTGCTTGAACAATTATGCAGCAGTTCTACAGACTTAAATGCCACAAATTCCCTTTAAACCTGCACCAACTGCACAGACAATCCAAATGATGTATCTTTTATATGTCTTAGCCAGAATCCTCCTGAGTCTTTAAATGCTTCCTCCTACATCTGAATAGAACATGCAGCTTAGAATAATTGAAGATGTAAAAATCACTTGTACTGGCCCACATTTCATCTAGCGAATGCTGACAAAACACGCGTACACACAGTGCGCTCCCCATCTGCCTTCATGAAAAATTCATGTAAACACGTTCTGTATTGGGGCATGCAGACCAGCCTAATGGTGCTGCCACAGCTGGGCTTAAAGCTTTTTGGGTTATAAGGGAGCACACAGGGAGGAGGTGGACATTAACCTCCACACACATATACATAGACTTCTATTGTTTTATCTTTAGATTTTTTAAAAATAATTATAATAATATGCAACCATATATAATCTGTTTGACTAACTTTATGAATTAAATAATATTACTAAAATATATTAGTATTATTAAAAAAGATGTACATGTATAAATAAGGTTTTTTTCTCCAAAAAGGACTTCTCCAAATGTTCCCAAAGGGAGATTTTGTCAGATGTAGCTCACTTTTGTGAGCAGATTTGTCCCCAAATTGAACCCTTCTTCACACACTTCCTTGTCTGGTGGGAGGTGTTAATGTTTCACTGTTTTTGGGTGGATGCTTATATTGTTAGTGTGATGTGGGATTTTTTTTTTTATTGCCACAGCTTTTATAATATTAAAATGACATATGAGGCTTCCTTTGTCAGGGTTAATTAGCCTCCATAGAGACTTGTTTAGCTGTTTTGAGTGACACTTGGATGGTTTTCTGTTTATTTGATGAATGGCAGAATGCTGAATGAAGTATGGATTGACAGGAATCTTGCATTGGGTTGCACCCATTCTCATTATTTGCTTTTCTAACATTTAGTAATATCTGGTGTTTAAATAAGTTCCATCAGTGGACGTTTGTAATGTTTTGTACACGATGTAATTCAGTTCTGTTATGGTGAGCACACTCTGTCAGTGTTACATAAGGCGTGACACCCACAAATAACTCTTTAAGCTGCCAATGTGAAATATTCCCTCATATTATGACTGTTTGTTACTGAGAGACAAGAATAAAATGTATGAAATTTCTGGCATGCTGGAATTTCTGATAAATTGACATTCATTTTTTATTTCCGTCTTCTCTCTCCAGCTGTTTGTTTTTGCCCAGTTTGGCCCCTCACAACGCGCCGTCCAGTAATGCTAACACATCTGGAGTCAGTGACGGGGCAGTGGTCAGCGGCATGGGAAATGGTATGTGCTCACAAACACACTCTTCCCCAACCCCCGTGATTTGCATGCAGCAGACAGCAGCTTTCCACTCTTTTGTAAATCTTTATTAAGATCAAGCCTAAAATATGAAAAAAAGTACATTAAATTGATGAATGTGCACCAAGCAAGTCATTATCACACAATAAACCTTGGTGGTTGGGATCTCAGAAGATATAAATAGGGATAAAAAGGGATAAAAAGATTAAAATAGCGGTGGTATGTTGCCGTTGACAGTGGTGAAATATAGCTACCATTCAATACAGTTATTTGATTGACCAATCCGAATCAACTGTTATTGTTTTTATTGTTTTAACAGATTATTGTCAATGAGTTTTTGAGCGAGTTTGAGTTTACAAACGTGGGATAGCGAAGGCGGGTGTAGCAGCTTGACAGAATTTCAGAAGCATCATGGCTCATGACAGGCGAGAGGTAGAGGGAACAGGGGCACAGCACTGTGACTGAATTTTTACAAAGACGGTGGAGTCTAGAGAAAAGAGGTAGCACATCGAAGCTTGACAGAGCTTGACAGAAATTGTTTGTGTGCCTTTGCTCCTGTTTGAGCGCTACCGGCTCACAGCAGCCCTGAGTGGGCGTACCAAGTGCCTATGTAGTATTAATGAGGTGATTCAGGGCTCGATGCCTCTCCATCTTTCTCCCTTCCTGTCTTTCTTCATTTCGCTGTCTCGCTCTCTCTCTCTTTCCTTCATCCTCCCCATTTCCCTTCCTCCCTCTCTCTCTCTCTCTCTCTCTCTCTCTCGAATGGATGATTTCAGTATTTATAGATAGACTCCTGCATCATATTCTCTGACCTATTTTTGTCGATGCCATCATCATTTATTGCTCGGAGAGTTTCATTCAGATCCCCTGCAGTCTAGTACATTGTTCCTGTCTCCTGTCTAGGATGTTCCTGTACATTTGTTGTATCTAAGTAGCTTAGGCTAAATTTTCAAGAATGTGTGCTTGATGTAATAGGTCATTATGCAAAGTCCAAGGAGATTTATTCAGTGATGATGTTGGTCCCCAAACCACATTAAAAAAGTTGAATACATTTTTTATTTGAACTTGAAAATAAATGCTTACACTTCCGGGTTGGACATCGACAGGATGGCAGCATAGAGCTAGCGTTCCTGGTTGGAATAGTTTTGAAAAAAACCCTAAGATCATTAAACTAGCAATCTAAGTAATCTACTTCATAAAAATAAAAGGGGAGTAAGATGGAAACTAGGTGCAAAACTAAGAAAATCACACAGCCTACGGAGAAACAAGACGATGACTCTGCGCGCTCTCTCCCTGGCTCACAAGCAAGTGGCCATGAGGGAGATTCCGTGAACCCTGCCAGCGAGACCGTCGACTTGAGCCTCATTCTTAGAGAATTAAGGGACTTTCGTCGGGATAACAAAACTCAACTCGAGGACATTAAAACGGAAATTTCGAATACCAACGCTAGACTGGAGGAGGTAGAGGGCCGAGTCTTGACAGCAGAAGAGAGGACTCAAAACGCAGAAGAGGTACTCACAGGCTTGTTGAAGTTACACACCAAAATGGAAGAGAAACTTGTGGACATAGAGGGTCGTTCCAGACGGAACAATGTTAGAATATACGGAGTTCCCGAAGGTGCCGAGAAGGACTTTCCGACAGTGGCTCTATTTCTAGAAAAATTTCTGAGAGAAAATTTAAATCTATCGGAGGACACATCACTTCAAATTGAACGTGCTCATAGAGCGCTCGGTAGACAGCCACCGGCGGACGCACAACCACGATCAATCGTGGTTAAATTTCTAAGTTTCACGACCAAAGAACAGATACTTCAACAGGCCTGGCAGATGAGAGGATTCTCTTGGCAAGGAAAGCAGATCAACTTCGATAATGATTACGCCCCTCAAGTGCTACAGATGAGAAGGGAGTACACAGAGATACGCAATGTTTTGAAAGACAGAGAAGTGAAATTTAGAACACTGCACCCCGCTCGTTTGAAGGTGCTTTATGAGGATGGAGTGAAGATATACAACACGGTCGAGGAGGCAACGCAAGACATGTCAAAGAGAGGATTCCCGGTGCAGCCCATCAGCCACCCGAACACCCTCATGGAGCAGATTCAGCGAATGTCTTGGCAGAGAAGTGGCCAGAGCACGGGTAGACGCGATCTCCAACGGAGAAGAGGGCCAACATTCAAGGAGAAGCTGCAAACTTTCCGAAGAAAGGACGGGAGTTTGCAATCCTCATAATTTATGCACGGTCCCGATTGTCTTTGTAGTCAAACAGGCTTTATTTGTCAAAGGCAAGCATCAGACAACATCAGAAGAACTTTACATATTCTTAGTTTCATTTCAAAACATAAGGTGGAAGCTACACTATTGAGTTTAGATGCAGAGAAAGCCTTTGACTCCGTGAGATGGAGTTTTCTATACAAGGTATTAGCAAAATTTGGATTTCACAAGAATTTTACTGGAATTATTACAACATTATATGATAAGCCTTATGCAAGGATTAAAATTAATGGAGGTTTATCAGATCCATTTAAATTAGAGCGGGGCACAAGACAGGGGTGCCCCATTTCACCACTCCTTTTTGCCATATTTATTGAACCTTTGAGCCAATGGATTAGGCAAAACCATTCAATTAAAGGGATGGATATGGGATCCGGAGAGCATAAATTAGCCCTCTTTGCTGATTATATATTGATATATGTGCCAACCTACAAAGTCACTTCCTACACTATTTAACTTCCTTGAGGGGTATGAGGCCATATCTGGTTACAAACTGAACGTCTCAAAAACCCAAGTATTAACATTTAATTATGATCCACCTAGACAAATTAAAGATAAATATATTTTAAAATGGGATACAAAATCAATAAATTACTTAGGAGTAAATTTGTCTGGAGACCATTCAAAATTATGGTTATTATGGTTTTTGGTTGCTTATTTATTATGGTCCCTTGAATAAAAAAATGAAATCTGATTTAGTATGTTGGAACCTTATTCCTTTGTACAGTCTAAGTTCCAAAGTTGATTCAGTAAGGATGATCATTCTACCAAAATTGTTATATGTGTATATATATATATATATATATATATATATATATATATTAAAAATAAATTATTAAACTTTTTGATGCATTTACATAAAGAAGATTTCCATCTCAAATGTTCAATGTTCAAAATATTTTTTTGTATTTATATATTTAAAATATCACAAAAATATTAATCAGCACAACCGTTTTAACATTGATAATAATAAGAAATGTTTCTTAAGCAATAAATCACCATATTAGAATAATTTTTAAAGGATCATGTGACACTGAAAACTGGAGTGATGGCTGCTGAAAATTCTGCTTTTTCATCACAAGAATAAATTACATTTGAAAACATATTAAAACAGAGATATACTTCATTCAAAAACATAAAAAACTTACCAACCCCAAACTTTTGAACGGTAGACAAATTTGCAAAAACAGAAGTATTGTCCCTCAAGATCACATAAGTAACACTTTACCATTCATTGCTTGTTCAAGCACCATCAGAATTTAAAAGCAGTCTTATCTGTCCAATAAAAAAACTATTCTGAGAATAATCAACATTAATATTCATGTAGCATTGGACAGCTGTGAATGTTTTGTGTCAATCTACATCAAAATGATGCAAAAAGAGAAAGTAACTCCTAATATTGAATGTCCTCATTTTCATCTCTTCAGGCGAGCGTTTCTTTCCACCCCCATCTGGCCTGAGCTACTCAACATGGTTTTGCATTGAGCATTTCAGCACGCCGCCCCAAAGCCATCCTGTGCGTCTGCTCAAGGTGGTGCGAAGGGCCACCTCGTCTGAGCAGCACTACGTGTGCCTGGCCATCGTGCTCTCTGCTAAAGACCGATCTCTCATTGTGTCCACTAAGGAAGAGCTGCTTCAGACCTACGGCAAGTGTTTCCTACAACTTCCTGTTCTACATCTTTGTTTTCGGTTTATGTCAGCAAAGTTCTAATGATGTGGAATGCAGAGTAAATAAGAACAAATCTATTACAGACTTTCAAAATGCTGATGTTTGTGAACACACACACACAAAAATATTTATTTAATATAATTTAAATATTAATTTAGCTTATGATGTCACCACGCTTACGTTTCATGGGCAAATCGGAAGTAGACAATTAAGCCATATTAATGCAGTGTTTAAGAGCCCGTTCCTTCTGAAATGCAGAGGAAAAGTTCCTTTGTCTGTGGTTAGTGACGTGACATCATTTCCTCTCTCCCTTTGCAGTGGATGACTTCAGTGAGGAGTCCTCCTTCTATGAGATCCTGCCCTGCTGTGCCCGCTTCCGCTGCGCTGACCTCATCACCGAGGGACAGTGGCACCACCTGGTGTTAGTTATGAGCAAGGGAATGCTGAAGAACAGCATGGCGACTCTCTACATCGATGGCCAGATGGTCAGCACAGTCAAGGTGTGGCCCAGCTCCTGATGTAGACACCTTCATTTTGTTTTGACTTAAGTAATTGGAAACGGTGCCGTTACAATTTTTTCTGCAGAAATGTAATTATTTTCTGCCCCCTTTTAAAGATTTTAACTAATATTTCAAACTTTAGCATAACTCAAAATTGCCGTCAGATCTGCAATCTGATGCAAAGTGGTTCTTCTCTTGCTTCATTAGCAGCTCAAACACCAGTTCCCAAGACTACTGTTAAATAATGTATATTTAAAATAAAAGGCATTATTCCCGATAAGGTCACACTCACCTCTTTTGTTTCTCATTGTGGTTGTCTTTGTAGCTGCACTATGTTCACAATGCTCCCGGTGGCTCTGCCTCCGCAAACCCACCTGTGGTGAGCACGGTGTACAGCTACATCGGTACACCACCGGCCCAGCGCCAGCTCTCCGCTCTGGTCTGGCGACTGGGGCCCACTCACTTTCTGGAGGAGGTGCTGCCTGCTGCCAGTGTGGCTGCCATCTATGAGCTGGGACCCAATTATGTAGGCAGTTTCCAAGCTGTTTACTTGCCATGTGAGTACCTGATGTGTCACACTGATGTGAATAACAAGAAACTACAAGATGTTTGATTTTAAAAGTAGATGTTTATTGTAAATTAATGGCTGTTGTACTGATTAAATGGTATGCACATCTTATGTGTGTTATATGTAGTTGCATGTTGTGAGTTTTAACTGTGTTTCCTCTCATTCATCCAGGTAAAGACTCAAAGACTGAGGCTGTGCCACCCTGTCCTGTTGGATTGGTTCCTGAAGAGAAGGTCTCCTTCAGTCTCTTTGCTCATTCTGTATCTACTCTCACTGTGGCCAAGATACGAAAAGTCTACAACAAACTGGACAGCAAAGCCATCGCCAAACAGGTACCGTAAGCAGTCTCACTCTCACCCTGCTATCTCTTTTGCTAAAATAATGTATTTAAATGATAAGATTTTAAATTGTAATTAAATATTGATATATTAATTTGTTGTAATGAATTTTAACAAGTTAAACATTAAAAATAAAAAGAAATTTGATTTTGCATTGTATTATATATATATATTTTTTGACATTTAAAGTTGTCATATTTAATAATCTGAACAACCACCAAATAATCAAGACCATAAGCAGACCTACACTATTGTTCAAAAGTTTGGGGTCATTAAAAATGTTTTTGAAAAATTTCTCAAATATTGCATTTATTTGATCAAAAATACGGTAAAACCAGTAATATAGTCAAATATTAGTTTAAAATAACTGTTTTCTATTTTAAAGGTTATTTGTTAGGGCTGCACGATAAATCGCATGCGATATTTAATGCGCATCTTGTCAGTAAAGTCGTTTCTGTAATCAGCGGTAAATCTCCATCACGTGCGTGCTTATATGCATATAAATGCATATATGAACGTGGTTTTGCACAGCTTGGCAGTGAACAACGGCTCTTTGTAGTAAATGCTGCTTCATGTGAAAGCACGCACGTGATGGAGATTTACCGCTGATTACAGAAACGGCTTTACTGACACGATGCGCATTAAATATCACATGCGATTTATCATGCAGCCCTACACCAGAGGAGCCTTAGTGATGCTGTGACTTTTTATTTATTTATTTTTTCATTACTCACATCCGACAGATATACAGAGAATGATTGACATCCTGTTAGGATGTATACATTTTGTGTAGTGGTCTTCAGTTCTAAAACTTCTTTTATTTCAGAAGATATAAACATTTGTTGGTTTTTCATGATATAATGACATAAAATGTTTAATTTGTTGGACTTTCAGGTTTGGCTTCATGCTCCCTATGAACTGCACCTCTCTCTCTTCGAGCACTTCATTGAACTTCTGACTGAATCCAGGTAATACATCCATACTCTAACACTCTTTATTGAATCTTTGATTCGGGGCAATCGATATAAGCCTTTCTGCGATGTTATGGGACTTTCTTTGGATTCCTTCAGCCCTGTAGAAGTGTTAGAGTGTACATTAAGCATTAACATTATGATGGTTAACCAGCAGCACTTACAGAACAACATATGCATCACATGGTATCTAAAATACATCACATGGACATTTGAGGTCTACTTCCATATGAAGTACATCATATACAGTAGAAGAGGAGAGATCTGATTTATGTTTTGTTATGGAAATTTTTACATTTGGATTAGTTTAAAATAACTGTTTTCTATTTTAAAGGTTATTTATTCCTGTGATGGCAAAGCTGAATTTTCAGCAGCCATTACTTCAGTCTTTAGTGTCACATGATCTTTCAGAAATCATTCTAATATGCAGAATTGGTCCTCAAGAAACATTTCATATTATTAATGTTGAAAACAGTTGTGTTGCTTAATATGTTTGAGGAAACTGTGATTCTCTGATGAATAGAAAGTTAAAAAGAGCAGCATTTATTTGAAATCAAATTTTTTTGTAACATTACAAATGTATATGCTTTCACTTTTGATTAATTTAATGTGTCCTTGCTGAATAAATGATTAATTTCTTTTAAAAAAATCTTTGCTGATTTTTAGTCAAAATATGCAGAATTCTTAGGGTAGTAAAGAATAAATAAAAGTTTTGTGAATGATTTGTATAAAAAATTCTGTATAAATGAGGACATTTAACTAATGTAAATATCAGCGGAGCTTTTTGTGGAAATCTGCAGACCTTTTACATATTATCTTCACTCATTTTAGTGCGTCATCTGCAGAATTTTAGTATTGGACACTTTTTGATAGCTGAAAGAAGTAATACATATTTAGCCAAAATATTTTAGAAATAAATATGCAAGGGGTGCAGAATGTCTCGAACTTTTGAAGGACGAGTCTTCCAATTCTGCAGAAATTTGCAGTGCGGATTCCTTGTCCTGCCCATGAGTAATTATTTTAATTATCATTTTATGAAAGCTGCTCAGAGTGATGTTTTCATCCCCTTTCAGCTGGGGGTTTCCTCTCATGAAAGTGCCACACCAGTCAAACTCATCCATAATGCAGTGGGCCATCTCAACGGGTCGGCCAGGACCATTGGAGCTGCAGTCATCGGTTACCTGGGTGAGTGCAAAATAAAAATAAAAAATGAAGTGGCACAATACAGCTTTTCCAATAAACCGGCCCTTTCTCTCAGTGTTCATGTATTTATAGCTGCAATTTTGTTCCATGTAGGTGTGCGCGCCTTCATAAGCAAACCGGTGGCCACCAACCTCCAGTACATCGGAGGAGCAGCTGCCATTCTGGGCCTGGTTGCCATGGCTTCAGATGTGGAGGGTCTCTATGCTGCAGTAAAAGCATTAGTGTGTGTTGTCAAGAGCAACCCGCTAGCTAGCAAGGAGATTGAGCGTATCAAAGGCTACCAGGTGGGCTGCAATAATAATTATCAGTGAACTTTGAACCGAGGATGTCCTCTGTTCTCTACAGCTGTAGCTGTAGGATGTTATGAGCCAATGAGGTGGCAAATTAAATGATAACAGTGAGCCTGGGCTGTTGTGACCGGTGACAGCCAATTGATGTGATAAGTGAGGGTTCTTAAGGGTGGGGCATGCTGGGATGTGCTGGTTTGAACCTAACAGATGGTGCATTGTTTTATTTCTCTGCTGCTTTAATAGGGTCTGTAGAGAGAATGCGATGTTTCACGGAGCTAATGTTGATTGTGGTGTCGCTGTGTAAGGAAAATGAATGGCTGAGTGTTGGGTTGCAGCCTGTTTTAAACTGAACTGATCACTGAATCCTGAAATGAGTAGACTAAGGAAAATATAGCAGATCATTCTTTCACATAGACCTTCCGTTGTTGTTTTTTCCCTGTCAGCTTTAGATCATTTGCCTGAATGATCTTCTTTAACTTAATGTCTTCTGTTATAGCTGTTGGCCATGCTGCTGAAGAAGAAACGCCCGCTGTTGAACAGCCATATTCTGCACTTGACCTTCTCCCTCGTTGGAACTGTCGATAGTGGCCACGAGACCTCAATCATCCCCAACTCCACAGCCTTCCAGGACCTGCTGTGTGATTTTGAGGTGCGAAGCTCACACCATATCTTACATACATCTTTTGAATGTAATCTTTAATCAGTACTCAATAAGTATTCAATGGTAACCTATAGAGTGAATGAGGTATTTTCAAAGAAGTTGTGTACCAGGAACAAACAAGCTTTGAGAATAACCAGATATCGACATTTTAGCGAGTGGTACCATGGGGTGATGTAATACAGCCATTTCATTGGTTAGATGAGGGATTTTGTTATCTTGAAATGGATACTTTTGACTATAAAAACTGGGCTGTGAGCCTATTTCTTACCTCTTTTGCTCACAGCTTCAACTGTGTGTCAAACAGATCACTTCTCTGCAGAGAATTAAAGCAAGACAAAGACAAAACTGTTTGGTTTTTCATTCTCAGTCTTCACAATTATTTTATTACTTTATTAAGTCAGAATTTCCACGACGGTCTAAAGGCCCGTTCTCAAAAAGAACAATAACTATATTAACATCTATGAATGGACTGTAACGTTCTGTTTAATATAAGCACACACTGCATGTCATCAGAGTGATTCCAACGATATTGTTCCTCTGTGTCTTTATCGTTATAGTTGTAATGTGGACTTTGCTATTCTCTAGATTATTAGTTTTATAGTTATCGTCCTTGGTGTGAAGGTGCCTTTAGAGTGAACAGTGTTCCTAAACTCCAGAGGTGCAGAGTCAAACCTGCAGTTGTTAAACTGCTATCACTAACACAATGTGTACTTGTTTCTGTTCTCAGTGAAGCTGCTAAGAATGCCAAACTATTGCGGGAGTTTCAATTGATCCCCAGACTGCTGCTGACTCTGAGGGATCAATCTCTGTCTCAGCCCACCATCGCTGCCATCGGCAATGTCCTCAGTCTCCTGCTTCAAGGCTTCCCCAACTCATATGACCTACTCAGGTAAACGGAGAGTTGTATGCCCATTTTAAATGTAGGCTGTCAAAGACAACACATTTTTAGAAGATTAGAAACAGAAGTGACTGATTTTGCTGCAGAACATACTTTATTTAGAAGCAGGGGTGACTAATTATTAAGGAACACTATGTACAATTTACACATACAAAATAAAAATCTTCGATCACAAAATAATCATTTATAATTCTGGACTTTCTTTCATTTATTTATGGCTATGATTGATTTTTTTCCCAGGTTTGGGCAGTTTATCTCTTCAACATTGCCAACATTTGCAGTCTGTGAGAAGTTTGTCATTATGGAGAACACCAATGAGGAGAAGATCGACAGGGGTGAGTCAGCTTTTTTAAGCTTCCAAGTATGAAAGAAGCATTTTAGCAGCATATTGTTCCAACACAACAACACTTCAGATCACCCTGTTAAAGAATTAGACCCATGGGATACAAAGCATTGCCAGCTTTAAACAGCACCAAAAGAAATCCACACCTGCAGAACCTTGTAGAAAGCTACACAGAATTCCTGCTGAATTGAAACGTCATCTCATTCCTAAAAATCTGACACCCCTTGTGCATTTCTGAAATATTTTGCCTAATTTGGTGGTTTCCGCTATCCGTAAGAGTGCAGAGTTAGCTCCATGTAAGCACTTTCTGCAGATTCCCACTAAAATCAGCACTGGAAAATCTGCAGATTTCATCTAGGCTTAATAATGAGATGTCTTAAGATACCAGGAGCTTAAAAATGTCAAAAAGCTTAGCAGTATCATTTCTCCTTTCAGTGGTCTTACTCTTCTTCCTGGGTGTTTTCAGGAGCTGATGATGAGTTTGGAGGCCTCCTGTCATCCAACTTGATTCTTCTGCGGAACAGACTGCTGGACATCCTGCTCAAACAGCTCTTCACCTGCAAAGAGAAGAACATTGTTAATGTACAGTGAGTGATGCTCCATATTAAATCAAGGGTGGATTATTGGACTTCAGAGAGCTGCGCTGCATTTTACAGCATCTGTAACATTGTTACCTAAGCTTGCTGGTTTAGGGCTGATATCTGGGATTGGATACAGATGGAACTGGACACTTTGGATATGTGTCCAAAATGATTTAGTGTAGCCAAAGGGCTTTTATCTCTTATCAGTGCTCTCAGTATTTTTTTTTTGTGGGTGTGTATGAAAAATGACAAAGCGCACCATTTAATTGTCTGTAAATTAAGCCTCATAACTTAAAAGATTATAAACAAAATTTGTAAGATCTACCTTCATATTAATGATCATCCCCTCACTAAATTTTTCTTTCTGCTACCTCCCGCAGGGCTTGCGAAGAACTTGTGCGCACCTTGGGTTTTGATTGGTTGCTGATGTTTATGGAAGAACACATTCACTCCAGTACAGTGACGGCAGCTCTCTTAATCTTGGTGGTGTTGCTGAGTAACCAATCCATCCTGAGCCGGTTTAAAGAGGGTCTGTCTGGAGGAGGATGGCTGGACCACACCGACTCTGTGCTCACTAATAAGATTGGCACTGTTCTGGGTGAGCAAGAGCTAATCATATTTGATTAGTTTCACATGCATTTTAGTTAAACAGTTTCTATAATTATACAGTATAAAAAATGATAACAATAATAACAATAACTAAGTATTTAGTACTGTAACTAAATTTGTCAGGCTTTTTTTTTTTTGCTCATATCCTTTCAGGTTTTAACGTTGGCCGCAGCGCAGGAGGCAGGTCGACATTGCGTGAAATCAACCGAGATGCCTGCCATTTCGCAGGATTCCCTCTGTTGCAAACTCTACTGCCCAAACACACCAATGTCCCAGAGATCTACTTCATGCTCATGGCCCTTTTCCTCCAGCAGCCAATCACAGAGCTGCCCGACAGCCTGCAGGTACATGTCAGTATGCAAACTTTTTCCCTACTAATCAAACTTGAATGTCTTCACTTTGTGTCTTTGTTTGTGTGTGTGTGATCTCACAATCCATATCATTTTCCACATCTCTGAGACCACTATTAAAAATAATTATATGTATTTTAAATTTTTTTTTAAATATAATTTGTGTTATCTGCAGATGTGTAAAAGAATTTAATTGAAAAATTAAGAGTCATGTTCACATGCTCGGTGTCACCAATTTGCTTGCATACAATTTAGTGAACTAGCAGTAGTGCAGAATCTAAAATCATTTTACATCATATTCTTTCTTTCTTTTTCTCTTTCTTTCTTTCTTTCTTATATTCTTTCTTTCTTTTTCTCTTTCTTTCTTTCTTTCTTTCTTTCTTTTTGAATCCTAAAACTTTTACAAATTTAAATAGGATTTATATTTATATTTTATATAAATCCCAATTTTTCAATGTGATCTCAGACCTTTTGTTTTCAACTGTTTTTTTAAAGTGACATGCTCCTTGTTAACTATACTCATGTTCAACAAATTGTCTTTGCTGTATCATCCATTCAGTCATGCATGGGTTGCACTTGTGACTGTTTCCTGTGAGAGCATTGTAGTGTCACTAATTCATTCTTTTACTTTTTAAACTGCAAAATCATTGAATAAGTATTAATTATTTAATTAAATGCAATTCGGTAATATTATGATTTCATAATAACTTAATACAATTTAATAATTTGTATAATATATAATTAATAAATTATTATTGAGTTGTGCCCATCTCCTCACACAGTTTGACCTGGACTCTATCTGGACGTTTATATTTGGCGTCCCAGCTTCCAGTGCTACAGTGGTGGGCTCCATTCACAACATGTGCACTGAAGCAGCGTTCCTGCTCCTGGCAATGCTGCGCAGCATGCTCAACCTGGTGAGTCTCCAAGCTTCCTGCTTTAGAAATATGCATCCCAGGAGCAACTGTTAACATTGGGATGATTGCTCCGGTTGTCATTTGGTAGTTTATCAAAGGTTTTGTACTACAGCTGATGAAAAATTCTGAATGAAATGGGAAATTAGTGACAAACTGGTGCTCAAAGTGAAAAATAAAAGGTTAAAATGGTATTATATTAAGATGAATTGTTTTCACTGCAGATACCAAGAAATGCAGGTTATTCTCACAAGTACAGACCCTCAGACCACAGAAGCTGAAATTTCTCTTTATCTAACCCACAGCCTTGGCAGTCAGAGGAGGAGGGTTCCTGGCTGAGAGAATATCCCATCACTCTCATGCAGTTTTTCCGTTACCTCTATCACAACATCCCAGATCTGGCACACATGTGGCACAGCCCGGACTTCCTGTGTACACTTGCTGCTACGGTTTTCCCCTTCAATATACGGCCTTACTCTGAGATGGTACGCTATTGTTCTCTTTGTTTGTTATTGTAACTGGGAATTTGTCCTTTTGATGTTTCAGTCTCAATTGAAGTTGGTTGTGTGATAAAAATGTCTTGTTTTCCTCAGGTGAGTGATTTGGATGATGAAGCAAGCTCACCCACAGAAGAGTTCAAAGCCTTTGTGACGGATACAGGCATGAACCGTAGCCAGTCAGAATACTGTAATGTAGGCAATAAAACCTACTTGACCAACCACCCAGCAAAGAAGTATGTCTTTGACTTCATGAGGGTCCTCATCATGGACAACCTGTGCATGACACCTGCCAGCAAACAGACGCCCATCATTGATCTTCTGCTAGAGGTGAGACCATCTTGAATATCTACTTCATTATATTTCATTTGTCAATGATGTTGCGTGAAGCTACAGAATCTTAGTGCCTGTAATCCTGGCTTTCTTTTCTATCATCCTGCAGTGCTCTGCATGCTGCTTATTAGAAGCTAATGTGGGAGTGTCCATTTGTTGGGCAGGAACACTAACTTTGCTCTGTGTCCTCAGGCCTCACCAGAGCGCTCAACCAGGACCCAGCAGAAAGAGTTTCAGTCCTACATCCTGGACAGTGTGATGGAGCAGCTTCTGGCAGCAGATGTCATGTTGGGTTAGTTGCATCCCAATCATCAGGTTTAGCTCTGGGAATTGATCAGTAATGTACCAAAAAATGAAAATGCTGTCATTTACTCAATCTCATTTTCTTCAAAAGTGTGTGGTTTTTGATGTCAATGTAGATCAGGCACAATGTATGCAAAAACTGTCATGGCATGGTGAGACATGACCATATTTTAGTGGTTCTCAGCGTTTTTGATCTAAAGTTCCCTGATGTCCCTTAAAGTCTGTTGAACAACAAAATATTCAGAATCCCACAATATAAGCTAAAATGACAAATCTTTCATGTGTGTGGCTGTGTCCTCCAACAGGTGAGGAGGCATCATTGCCAATAACGACAGGAGGAAGTTATCAGGTCCTGGTCAACAATGTGTTCTACTTCACACAGCGTGTGGTGGATAAGCTTTGGCAGGGCATGTTCAACAAAGAGTCCAAGCTCGTGGTGGATTTCATAGTTCAGCTGATCACCCAGGTGAGCTCACACCGGAGGTTCCCCACTTAAACGCCAATTATGCTTTCACACCACCTACATCAAAACAAGCACACTTGTCCCCAAAGTCATAGTGTTCCTGAATAATTAGGAAGTGGTCTTGCTATATATATTTTTTGGCCGTATATTGTCTAGTTTGTCATTTTAATCATGAACATTGCATACAAATGATTACTTTTAGTGGATGTCTTAAATGTATGCTACTGCTACAAAATATTTCTATTTCAAATTATTTATTTTAAACTTTCTGACCATCAAAGAATCCTAATACTGTAAATGTTTTTTGGTTCCCACAAAATATCAAGCACAGCTGTTATAATAAGAAATGTTTGAGCACCATATGAGATGGGTACCTGCTGAAAATTCAGATTTACCATCACAGGAATAAATTACATTTAATTGACCTAAATATATTATTTTAAATTGTAATAATATTTCACAGTATTACTGTTGTTTACTAGGTTTTTGATCAAATAAATGCAGCCTTGGAAACTATAAGAGACTTCAAGAACATTAAAAAATACTCAACCCAAGCTTTTGAATGGGAGTGTAAATTTAAACAAACCGAATGTTCAAAATTTAAATGCAGTTAAAAGCAAACTATAAGCAATCATAGCAACCAGTTATCTTTTTAAAATGAAATTTAAACAATTTCACAGTAAATGTTTCACTAAATATTGCTAAAATAATTTAGCTTCTAACCATTTAAAAAAAGACCACAATAACCCCCAATGTAATGTTAAGTCATTACTTCAGTTATTAAACATAAATTATTTTCCTGTTATTATATTACAAATTTCTGTTAGTTGTACAATTCTCTCTCTCTCTCTCTCTCTCTTTCTTTTACATTCCTCATGTGCAAGACTTATGTAGCATTACTATGTGACTTGCGTGACTGGTGGTTTCTCAACAAATCTCCTTTTCTTTTTTCTTTTTTTTTGTCCCACAACAGTCCAAACGGCGATCACAGGGTTTGTCTCTGGACTCAATCTACCATTGTCTGAACCGAACAATCCTCTACCAGCTCTCACGACCACACAAAACGGTCCCGCAACAGGTCACCCTGCTGGATTCACTACGTGTGCTGACGGTAAACCGAAACCTCGTGCTGGGACCTGGCAACCATGACCAGGAGTTTGTGGCTTGTCTGGCCCACTGCTTGATCAACCTGCACACGGGGAGGTGAGAGAGACACAGAGGTGGTATAATGTTTTCGGGCACTGTACATAAAATCAAGGGTTTATGAATTTAGAGTATCCAGATGTTTGGTTTTAAGTTACAGGGATGGATAGATAAGTCTATTGAGATATGTTTTCCATTTGACATGCAGACTCTGGTTAAAAAAAAAAAGGTGTAAAAATGAATAAATAGGTAAATACATAAAAACATTTAGATAGATGGGTAGATAGACATATGTGAAAATCAAAAATTAGGTTTTGATATATTTACAGTAGTAAATTTACAAAATATCTTTATGGAACATGATCTTTACTTAATATCCTATTGATTTTTGGCATAAAAGAAAAATCGATAATTTTGACCCAGACAATGTATTGTTGGCTATTGCTACAAATATACCTGTATGGTCCAGGGTCACATATATGAGGTGTGAAATACATTTACATGGATAGTTATGTTTGAGCTCTGAAATAAGTACATTTAGATAGATGCTATAGACTATGGATTGTGATAGACTATATGCGCGGTAGAAAATAAAAATAAATGCATACATTTAGATGGAAAGATAGATGGGGATGGGTTTATGGGATTATGTATGAGCAGTGAAAAATGAATAGTTCCTCTTCACAGTCTCAGGATTGTTTGTGATTGTGCGCCTCTGCTGTTGTGAGTCACTGTGAGAGACATGAGGAGGAGGTTTATGTTGTCATGGCTCTTTATCCAGGCTGACTCAGAAGTTTGGCTTCAGAGAGACTGAGAAATGAGAGCAGCTCAGAGACAGTGAGCAGAATCACATTAGTGTGTAGTGCTGCTACTCTGAGTCTCTGTGCTCTGTGCTTGATTTTGAGTGACTGATGTGCTGAAATGATAGTTCATTATTCTTGCTGTTTGTGTTCTAGCATTCAAACTTATAATATTGACTGACTGGAGAATGTTCACATGGTGCAGCACAAATAAAGCGCTGGCCAAAAGACCATGGTGTCTTCAAATGTATGAGAATGGTGTGCTGTATCACTGTGCCACAAGTCAACATCACTTTCATGTTCTCTTACAGTAGTGTGGAGGGGTTTGGTTTGGAGGCAGAGGCCAGAATGACCACCTGGCATGTCGCGGTTCCTTCTGAGAACGAGTCGGACAATGTCCGGAGCCAGGATGTTAGCGAAGGTTGTTCTTTTTCTCTTTTTATGACATTTTTGCAAGCAAAGTGTGTGGTGTATTAAAGCATACAGTTTTAATACTTAAAGCACTTCACAAGCCCTCATAAAAACCATTATCGATATCAAACTTACTCTGTCTGTTTTTGGTGTGTGTGTGTTTGTCAGGTCGTCAGTTGCTGCTCAAGGCAGTGAATCGTGTGTGGACAGAGCTCATGCACAGTAAGCGGCAAATGCTGGAGGACATTTTTAAAGTGTCTCTACCAGTCAATGATCGAGGACATGTGGACATCGCCACTGCTCGACCTGCTTTAGAGGAACCTGCTGCTAAAAGCTGGCAGAACCACCTGGGTGAGGAAAACATCCACACACACTCAAATTTTTACTTTATAAATCCATCAAATTCAGATTCTCCCACATAGTTTAATTTTTGCAGCTTGTTGCTTTCACACTCTTTCCTGTGTCTTTGTCACGCTGCAAATTTGTTCTTGTTAAATATTTTTTTTTGCAGTTTTCCCTATACTCTCATTTTCTTACTGTGTTGAACCTTCTCTGTTTTGCTTCTAGTCCACGAGAAGAAATGCATCAGCAGGGGCGAGACCGTTGCCCCAGCGAATCAGTCCAAACTGTCTCGAGTCAGCAGTGGCTTTGGTCTGTCCAAACTTACTGGCTCCCGTCGCAGCAAGAGGGAAAGTGGAATGAACAAGAACAATCTTTCTGCACAGGTAACTTTCAAAATGCATCTATCTAGACCGACATTTATCTCTTGGGGTGTTCCACAGGGATCAATTCTTGGTCCAACCCTGTTTTTGTTATACATTTTGCCTTTGGGGTCAATCTTTAGTCAATAAAATATAAATGATCATTTGTATGTTGATGATTTACAACTGTACCTTTCTCTTGAACTTGATGACTGTACATCATTTGCAAATTTTTCTGTGTTTGACTGAGGTAAAGGGATGGTTGACAAATCATTTCCTACAATTAAATGAGGATAAGGCTGAGTTTATTATATTTGGGAATAGGCAAGTTGGAGCTAAACTGTGCAGGACACCGGCCCTCCAGGACCGAGTTTGGACAGCCCTGGTCTATTGTCATACAACATGCATGGAGACTTTTAACTAATACCAGAAAATGGGATCATATCACACCTGTGTTGATAGCCTATGTCTTCATTGGTTATCTGTTAATTATAGAATCCAATACAAGGTGTTAATGTTTGTTATATCAGGCTTCTGATATAAAGGACATGCTGTCTCTTTAACAGCCTCAACGTCATCTGCGTCTTCTCAGAACTTGCTCTTAACTGTTCCATGGTCTTGTTTAAAGCGCAGTGGAGATTGCGCCTTTTTTTAAGTTGCGGCTCCTACACTTTGGAATGCCTTGCCACTATTCATAAAACCCTTGTCAACTATGAACTTTTTTTAAAGGGAACTTAAAGACTTGTTTATTTCATCAGGCTATTGGCATTTGAGTGAGTCTGTTTAATGTGAGTGATTTTGTTGTACAATTTATATTTGTGTTATGCTGTGTTCGTATTGTATGTTTGTAATGTTTTTATTTATTTTATTTTTTTTTAGAGTTTTAATTATCTCTGTACGAGACTTTGGTCCATTCTTGTGGTTTTGAAAGTGCTTTATTAATAAAAGTTGAGTTGAGTTGAAAATAACTGTCACAGACATGGAAGTGATTTCACAGCTGATCTTATGGACTTGCACAGGAAGTTTGTGCTCACATTATTGTGACTGTCCACAGGAAACCTTTCAGTGGATGTTCACGCACATTGCTGTGGTCCGGGACTTGGTAGCAATGCAGTACAAGGAGCATCAAGAGGTAACCCTTCAATTTCTAACATATGCAAAGTCAAATAGATCTTTCAGAATAATAATAATTGCTGAAATGTTTTAAATGGAGGGATCGTAAATAAATGTTTTCCCAGTTCTGATCATAGTGGAATGACTTCTACAAAAAATTATTTTGATGCAAATATGCATTTGTTTTCTCACAGAGACAGCAGAATGCGCTGAAGTATGTGATGGATGAGTGGGCAGGGATTGAATATGAGCTGCTTCGTGAGAGGGGCCTCTGGGGGCCTCCTATTGGCTCCCACCTGGACAAGTTTCAGTTGGACATGACTGAGGGACCCTGTAGAATGAGGAAGAAGATGGTTCGGAACGACATGTTTTACATTCATTATCCCTACGTGCCTGATCCTGAGCCCAACGCAAGCACTCAGGTTAGTGTACTTTTTTTCTTGTAATTTTTCAGTTTAAAGGAGGTACATGTTATGTATTGTATATTAGCAAATTCTGGCTTCCCAAAATAGAAAATAAACTTAATAAAACATAATTTTCTTTAACCTTATTTTACCCCATTAACTGAAACAAGTCTATTGAATTTGCCTATAGTATCAGTGAAAGTCGGCATGTGTGTAGCCGCTAATGGTTGATAATCTGCTCTGAATGGATCTTTTGTAAACTCTCAAACTTTAATTGCCAGCATTAGCCATATGATGGCAATGACTTCACATAAGAAGCCTGAAATGCAAACACAACGCTCCTCTTGCCTTATTGCCCATTTTTCCCTTTTCAGAAACAATCACAGGTGCCATTAATGGGTGCAATGGTTAACATACCAGTCCAGGTACAAACTGAAGTGTGCCTAAACTACAGTCTTGCTATACCCTCTTAAACATCTGCATTGCAGCATTAAGTGTAAAATAAATGTCCCAGACCTTCTGCATTTGTCTGTCACATAATGAGGAGGCATATGTGGATTGATGCCTCCGCAGAATGCTTAAAACGCTGTTTGGAGATGTTTTCTCTGCTGTCATTCCTGTTGTAAATATTTCATACCTCTAGAAAAATAAGTTTAGGACAGCTCCATCCATCCCATTTGCTAATCCCTTGTACTCCATATTATAGAATGTGAAGTGGGACAATATTCAGACAAGAATGTTGCATGCTACTCTTATAACTCACTAATTATTGGTATTCATATTGTAGTTTGAGAGCTGAAATAAGTAAATTCTGCACCACTACTGGCACCAAACAGAACTGCAAAAATAAAGACCATTTCACATACTTCACACATCTTCCATTGTTCAGCAAACAGATACTGTAGACCTGCCCTAAACTCCCTCCGTTGGTTGAGCCAGTGTCACTACATCTGGCCCAGTTGGCCGCTCAAACAAACAGACCACAGTTCTGTTTTCTGTTGCCAGTTGTTCGTAAATTATACGTTTCAGTTTCCTAGATGTAGATATATCCTTGTATATAGATATTTTAGTAGAAATTTGATATACAGCATGACCATGCAGGTTGTTTTTCTCTCTAAAATCAAAATTTAAATTTGCATGCAGTTCCAGTTAAAAAGTTTGGTCACATGACTGAATTTTTGTGTAATCTTGAAAACCTGCTGATATAACTGTTTAAATGCTTAAAATTTGCATTGTGGGTGAGTATTAATTGTGTTTAGATATGAATTATGTACTATATGTGAGTTGTCAGCGTGGGATTCTTAAGGAGTGATGAACACGTGTCTGTGCTGATCCTAAACTGTGTTTGCATGCCTCTGACTGGATTCCTCTTGCTGTCACTGACTTCCAAGATTGTATTTTTATCATAAAGGTCGTTTTCATCATGACTGATATAAACATGAAAGAAGAGTTAACAAGGACTAAATTAAACAGTTAGCATTAAATTTCAACCCTTCCAGAAACCGGCGCGCTACAGACGAGCGATAAGCTACGACAGTAAGGAGTATTACATGCGGCTGCTGTCAGGGAACCCGGGGATGTATCAGCACTCCATAGAGCAGAACACAGAGGGAGAAACCACACAGCAGGAGCCTGAACATGGAGAGGACACCATCGCAAGGGTCAAAGGTCATTTTAACATGATAATGCTCTCTATTACTTGATACAGTGAAACTACTAAAACTACTACATAAAACAAATACTATTATTAATACAATGATTTTTTCCCTTCTTCAAAAATGAACTACTAGTAACTAGAAATTCTACCACCTCTTCAAACTAAATGGACGAAACTGGCTTCTGAATGATCTGATTGTCTATCTATTGAAACTAATGAGAATGTAATATTATGAGTGTGTTGTATGGATTGACTCAGTGTGCTGTGTTGTGTTTTAGGTCTGGTTAAGGCCCCTTTAAAGCGGTCCCGCTCTACAGCGGATGGAGCTGATGAGGACAGTCAAGACCAGCTGCAGGAGTTGCTGGAGTCAGGAGCTATGGACGAGGAGCAGAAAACCGACAACACCACGCTGCTCCGCCTGCTGGAGGAGGGAGAGAAGGTCTGCAGCACACCACATCCTCGTCACACTGTTTAACAACTGCAGCTTCTTTTACTGCCAGGCACTGTTGTCAACGCAACAATGTGGCTTTGGAAATTAGGGTGAAAGCTTTCTAATCTGAAGCTTTGTATTGATCATTACTGTTCTAACAGCAGTCAGTCATTTACTGCTCACATTATCCTCGGATCAGTATGAGGGAAATAATTAGTAATATCTGTCTGGTTGGATGTTTAGGTTTATTTTGCTTTTTGAATTTGAACTGATTGATATAAAGTGTTCTGAGAATGTGTTTGTTGTGTGTGTTGGGATAGATCCAGCACATGTACCGCTGTGCTCGAGTTCAAGGTCTGGACACCAGGGAAGGGCTGCTCTTATTTGGGAAAGAACATTTCTATGTGATTGACGGCTTCACAATGACAGCCACCAGAGAGATTAGAGACATTGAGACACTCCCTGCAAAGTAAGAATTTATATTTTGGATTCTGCCCTTCAAAAAAAATTAGAAAGACTCACTTCTGTCAGATCATCTGGTATCTGTCTGTCCCTCTGCCGTTTGTTCTGTCATTCTGTTGTTCTCCATCTATTCATCGTTCATACGTTCTATCTACCATTTAGCTATTCTATCTGTCTTTCTATCTTTTGTTTGATCTGTCTATCATTCTATTGTTCATTCTATTATTCTTTTTCTATTTCTTATAATTTCTATTTCTTAGAATTGTGACAAATCTGGTAAATTTTTTTCATTAAAAGAAACTGGAAGTATTGATATTTCCCATTAATTAACCTACAATTCATTGTGTGAATGCATTCTGTGGTTATTTTTAGATTATTTTAATATATTGATGATAATTGATATAAGTCATTTTGCTGAGGCCCCCTGGTTGAGAACCACTGTTTTAGTGGTTGCACTGGGTCTATACGCTGCTTGTTTTTGTGACATTTGCAGTATGCATGAGCCTATCATCCCCCGAGGGGCCCGGCAGAGCAAGAGTCAGCTGAAACGAACCTGTAGCATCTTTGCTTACGAAGACATCAGAGAGGTGCACAAACGTCGCTACTTGCTTCAGGTGTGCAAACAAACCGTTTGGCTTGATTCTTTGCTTGAACCCAAATAACACACTGGGCAGCTTTCATGTTAATGGCAATAATGAAGTTATGCTTTGCTGTCTTCATCACAGCCCATGGCAGTAGAAGTGTTTTCCGGAGATGGAAGAAATTATCTGTTGACTTTCCAAAAAGGAGTCCGGAACAAAGTGTATCAAAGGTATTGTAAACACTGATGCCTTTTAAGGCAGCATCCCACTAGCTGGCACAAAACAGCTCTGTTTTGGTTGTGGATGTCACACTTTCTGACAATTTTAGATGAAATCTTGTACGCTTCTGTCAAATGTTGTAACACTCAGCAATTAAGAATTTAAAAGGGTGACAATCTAAATGAATTCCTCTGACATTTTCTCAGATTCTGTCATGCACTGCAGCTCCCCATTTTGGCAGCAAATCATTGTGAAATTTGACTATATTAGAGCAGGTGTACCACACATTCATACGCAACTGTAATAGACTGCATTAAGATGCAGCTCATTGAGTGTGTTTGAAGTTTCATATGCTTCTTAAATGCTGTAAAAACTTTAACACTGTGAAATATTTTTACAATTTAAAACAACTTTTTTTTTCTTTGCTAAAGTAAGGAAACTTTGCTTCCTTTGCTCCTATAAACAAACTCGTGAGACTAGCATATCTCAGAGGTTGACTGCTGAACATTTTAATGGAAACAGTGAATTTTTTTTTTCTGAGGATTATTTGATGAATTGAAAGTTCAAAAGAGCAACATTTAATAACAGAAATCTTTTGTAACATTGTAAGTTTCTTTACTGTCACTTTTCATCAACTTAAAGGGATAGTTCACCCAAAAACAAGTTTTGTCATCATTTACTCACCCTCATGTCATTGTAAGCCTGTATGAGTTTCTTTCTTCTGTTGAGCACAAAAGATTTCTTTTTGGATGAACTATCCCTTTAATGCATTCCCCCCCAAGTTTTTAATAGTAATTTAATTGTTGAAGTACCTCAGAAAAAAACGTGGTTACACACAGCCAAATCATGTTTTCTAGGTTCCTGGCAGTTGTTCCTTCACTAGCCGACAGCTCAGAATCTGTCTCTGGGCAACGTCCCAACACCAGTGTGGAACAAGGGTATGTTACCCTCACATTACATGAGTATGAAGTGAATTTAGAGTTTATTTACCAAATTTATTAAAATAAACATTCATATGCGTGTTTCTTGGTAAATAGGTCTGGTCTTCTCAGTACGCTGGTCGGCGAGAAGTCAGTGACCCAAAGATGGGAGGTGTGGTATCTTCACTTTAAGGTTTTTGTCTGTTTGTTTTGTTTTCTTGTTCAGTGTTGCTTATGAAAGACTCTTTATTTGCAGAGAGGTGAAATCAGTAATTTCCAGTATTTGATGCATCTCAACACACTGGCTGGCAGGTCATATAATGACCTGATGCAGTATCCCGTCTTTCCATGGATCCTGGCAGACTTTGACTCTGAGGTACAAACTTGTTTTTGATCATTCCTTGTAATAAGTCCTACAGCACAAAATGTTGAGAACTACAGTGTTTCAAAAGTCCGATCTTCTGTCAGCAATATATTGGCATTCTGTTTGGGGAATTTGTATCAGTTAAGTGTCTTTTCTTTTGCAGTCTGAGCTTCAGTTTTTCAAGGTAAAAATCTCGATTTATTCCACAGGAACTGGACCTCAACAATCCAAAGACATTCCGAAACTTATCCAAACCCATGGGAGCTCAGACAGATGACAGACTGATCCAGTACAAGAAAAGATTCAAAGACTGGGAGGATCCTAATGGTGAGTCAGAGACCCCTGTTAATAACCCTCTGTTAGCTGTGCTTGTTATGCTGAGACTTTTTAAACATGTTTTTGTTTCTTCGCAGGCGAGACTCCAGCATATCATTATGGCACTCATTACTCCTCTGCAATGATTGTGGCCTCATATCTGCTCAGAATGGAGCCTTTCACACAGATCTTTCTCAGGCTTCAGGTTAGTCCTACATGGTCCGCTCTTTTCTTCATTTGTTGCTTTCTTCTCTTTACTCAGTGTTTTAGTTGTTGTTTAAAGTTTTTCTTACCAACCACAAACCTTCATGTGGCTAGATTGGACAATCTTGAACTGGGCAGACTTGTCATTGCTCTTTTATTCTTCAACATCCATTTTTATGCTGGTGGAAATATATTTTGCAATGAATGTTACTAAATAAATCATCCACAGTCAAAACCAAAAAACAAACAAAAGTGGAAGAGCAGACTGGAAGACCAGCTGTTTCCACAATAAACATAGCATCTTCCGCAACCTCACAAATATTTACAGCATTTTTTTCCCCAACCAAAGCTACTGTTTCCAAGCATTAATAAAGATATTCCTTTGTTTGTGAAAAGAGGTTGTTATTAACAGACAGTGAAGGCCCGTTCACACCAAAAACAATAGCTATAATGATAACTATATTAGTGTCCACAACAATAATGTTCTGTTTGTTAAAAGTGCGTGCTGCCTGCTACTTTAAATGCTCAAGCTCTTTAAAGTTATATATCCTGATGGGCTGTCAGTCTTCTGGGGGGAAAAAACTGTATAGTTCCTCTGTGCCTTTATATTTGTGGTGTAGACCTTTCTTCTCTCATATAATTAACAATTATTAAAATTTTATAGTTATAGTTATCATCCATAGTGCGAACAGCTGATCTAGTTTCAAGAAAGATTGAAGCTGTTGGTTATATGTGAGTTTCATTCTGTGTTTTTAGGGAGGACATTTTGATCTGGCCGACCGAATGTTTCACAGCATACGAGAGGCTTGGCTCTCTGCTTCCAAACACAACATGGCTGATGTGAAGGAACTCATTCCGGAGTTCTTCTACCTTCCTGAGTTCCTGCTCAATTCCAACAACTTCGATCTTGGTTAGGATGAGATTGATAGCTAGCCTCATCTGTACCCTACATACAATCTCTCTTTTTTTGTTGTTGTTTTTTTTTCTTCACGTGTGTGTTATTTGATTGGTCTTTTCTAAAGGGAGTAAACAGAATGGCACCAAGCTTGGAGATGTGATTCTGCCTCCGTGGGCAAAAGGAGACCCGAGAGAGTTCATCAGGGTTCACAGAGAGGTAATTGACATCAAAATACATCATCCCCTGATAAAGCCGGCAGTCAGAAAGAGGCTCTGTGTTTTATTGTTTCATTGCGGTAAATGTCAGAGAATAACTGAAGGCCACTTTCAGTAACAGAGTTATAACCTTTAAGGACTGTGTGTGTTTTTTCAGGCTTTGGAGTGTGACTATGTCAGCGCCCATCTGCATGAATGGATCGATCTGATCTTTGGTTACAAGCAGCAGGGTCCTTCAGCGGTGGAAGCGGTCAATGTCTTCCACCATCTCTTCTATGAGGGCCAGGTGGACATCTACAACATTAATGACCCACTTAAAGAAACCGCTACCATTGGATTCATCAACAACTTTGGCCAGATCCCAAAACAGGTTTGCAATTTCATTACTGAAAATGTCATGAACTACGTCAGTGGTTGCCTGTGCATACTTGAGGAAAACTGACTTTATATTTCTACCAACTGGTTAAAAGTCATTGAAAGGAAATTTGGTTCTGAAAAAATCTCTTGCTTCATTTATTTGCAGATGCCTTTTGTTTTGTTATTTTGTATTTAATGCAATTTTGCTTAGTATCCAGTTTAACCTCTGTGTTTCTTCTCTTTTAGCTTTTTAAGAAGCCCCATCCTCCAAAGCGAGTGCGCAGTAAGTCAAATGGAGAGGTACCTGGTGTACCTGTTACACTCAACTCCAGCTTAGACAAAATCTTCTTCCATCATCTGGACAACTTGCGGCCCTCTCTCACACCTGTCAAAGGTAATGCAAATTCAGTGGAGGGATACAGTGGCATTACATGCTCTGTGATGATCACAGAGCTCAATCAAAGCCAGATCAACAATTTATTCATGTATGGTTTTATTTGTTAAAACTTGTTTGTTCAGGAATAGGGTTGGGTACAGAAACCCGGTACCAATATGGCACTGGTACCTATGTAACCAGTATGTACTAGAACCGAATCATAATGCAGATTTCGGTGCCTCATTTCGGTGCCATGCCTGAGCGATCGATTGAAATATTTGTCCTTTGGTTCTCCGAAACGGATGTAAGAAGCATCATCACCGGCACCGCACGTGAAAAATAATTTCCCCACTGAGAAACTAAACTTCCCTTGTATTCACATTTCTAAACCTGTTGTCCAACAAAAGAGAACATTATAACATTTTTACTCCACAACACCAGTCAAATGCTTCCTTTTGTGATCTGATGTGGCTTCTTGTCACAGAATGAGGCAGAAAATATGTTCCATAGGCTACTTTAAAAAGAATACATCGATTAGAAATGAATTATAAATATACTTAATTATTATGAAAATACCAGAGATGACTTGAATAACATAGATAAACTATATTGTCGCAGTCTAGAGTTTATTGTCTTTGTTTTATCATTCAAAACGTTTATAATGTTCTGTTTACTCAGTTACAGCTATAATAGCCATGCCTTTATCCATATAAGGGATTTCCTGGAGGGTCATGAGTTCTGCTACTTCTGTGACTGGATATGTCAGGGGTGGCGAACTCCGGTCTTGGAGAGCCGCAGCCCTGCAGAGTTCAGCTCCAACCCTAATTAAAACTCACCTGCCTGTAGCTTTCTAGTAACCCTTCAGACCTTGATTAGCTTGTTCAGGTGTGTTTGATTAGGGTTGAAGCAAAACTCTGCAGGGCTGCGGCTCACCAGGACCGACATTCGCCACCCCTGGGATATGTGGATTTTCTGTGCGAGGGCGCCCTCTGGCGTCCAGTATGAATGAATCAGACATCATGTGTTTAGCGATGCCTTTGTCCATATAAGGGATTTCCTGGAGGGTCATGAGTTCTGCTACTTCAGTGACGGGATATGTGGATTTTCTGTGCGAGGGCGCCCTCTGGCGTCCAGTATGAATGAATCAGACATCATGTGTTTATAGTGCTAATGGCCAATCCATAATTTTTTGAGGGAATTTTTATTTATTTATTTTTTTAATAAGTATCGGTTCAGGCACCGTTTAGGCACCAGAACCATTTTAAAAGTATTGATTTGGCACCGGTATCGAGTTTATTTAAAAAAAATAATAATAATGATACCCAACCCTATTCAGGAATAATTTGTGTAAAATATTGCTAGCGTCTCTGGCCATACAGTGGAGCACATTTTAATGAGCTCTGTGTGTGTCATGTGTGTTTTACAGAGCTGAAGGAGCCAGTGGGTCAGATAGTGTGCACTGACAAGGGCATTCTGGCTGTTGAGCAGAACAAGGTGTTGGTTCCTCCTGCCTGGAATAAAACCTTCGCCTGGGGCTATGCGGACCTCAGCTGCCGCCTCTCCAACTATGAGTCTGACAAGGTCATTCGCAACATACAGGTTCTTCTGTTTGCTCATGTTTTCAGCATCTGCTGTGAACGGCTGTCAGATCCTGAAATGCATTTGGGAAAAGAGCATCTGCAAAACTTTGCATATTTATAACTACTCTACAATTGAAAAGTTTGGGGTCTGTAATAGTTTATGATCTTTTTTGAAATAATTCTCTAATATTCACCAAGGCTGCATTTATTTGATTGAGAATACAGTAAAATATTGTGAAATAGTATTAGATTTTAAAATAACTGTTTTCTATTTTAATACATTTTAAAGTGTAACTTATGGCTGTGATGGCAAAGCTGAATTTTTGGCAGCCATTACTCCAGTCTACTGTGTCACAGTGGAAATCATTCATATCCTTCAGTAAACATTCTATGTTGATTAGGTGCTTAAGAAACAATTTTTATTATTGTCATAATTATGTTGAAAACAGGTGTTGTGGAAACCTTGAAATGTTTTTGAAATGTGATTTTCACCTTCCTTGTGAACTAATTAAGACACAGCTAAGTTTAAGCTTGGATTTTTGGTTTATTCTGTGTATTTTGTTTCCGTATCAGTTGACTGATGTTCATGTGTTGCGTTTGTCTCATAGGCGGTTGTAGTATATGAGTGCCTGTCTGAGTGGGGGCAGATCCTGTGTGCTATCTGCCCCAATCCCAAACTGGTCATTACTGGAGGATTAAGCACTGCTATCTGTGTATGGGAGACTGGGACTTCCAAAGAGAAAGCCAAGAGCCTCACACTCAAACAGGTTTGTTTTATATTTGTTTTAATGCGGCTTGTTTGATAGATTTTTTTTTTATATACTCAATTTGCTTTTTAAAACTAAGTTTTCCTTTAGACTTGTTTGCTACACCTACTTGCTCTTTGAAAATGAATGTTATTTAATTGTAATGTTTTATGCATTGATTAATATATATGTTCATGTTTCCAGGCTCTTCTGGGCCACACAGATGCAGTTACATATCTCACAGCGTCATCAGCTTACCACATCATCGTGAGTGGCTCTCGGGACCGTACGTGCATCATTTGGGACCTGAATAAGCTGTCTTTCGTCACCCAGCTGAGGGGCCATCGGGCTCCCGTCTCAGCGCTCTGCATCAACGAGCTTACTGTGAGTCAACAATAATGTAGACAGAATTAGCTGAGTGACAAGTGTTGTGTTTAAACTACATTCAATTTTCCTTTTAGCCATTTAATAAGCACTCTTGTATGCATTGTATGGTCTTTGCATTTGTATTCTTTATTAGGGTAATAACATAATTTATTAATAAATTATAATTTTAATATTGAAAATGTAAAATATGTATACATATGGGGGAAATCGTGGCCTAATGGTTAGAGAGTCGGACTCGTAACCCAAAGGTTGCGGGTTCGAGTCTCGTACCGGCAGGGATTGTAGGTGGGGGGAGTGAATGTACAGCGCTCTCTCCCACCTTCAATACCACGACTGAGGTGCCCTTGAGCAAGGCACCGAAGCCCCAACTGCTCCCCGGGCGCCGCAGCATAAATGGCTGCCCACTGCTCCGGGTGTGTGTTCACTGCTGTGTGTGTGCACTTTGGATGGGATAAATGCAGAGCACTAATTCCGAGTATGGGTCACCATACTTGGCCCTCATGTCACGTCACATATTAGGGATGTAACGATTCACTCAACTCACGATTCGATTCACGACTGAGTTAATCGAATCGTGTGCTTTTATTATTGCTTGGACAAAATACTGTACGTTTATTTTTAAATTGAAATATGACACTATAATAATATACTAATATAGCACTTGCATATTATTGCTCTTTTGTTGGTTTTGATTGCTTCTGTTGTCCTCATTTGTAAGTTGCTTTGGATAAAAGCGTTTGCTAAATAACAACATTTAAATTTAATGTAAATAACAAAACTAAATTGAAATTTTAAAACAAGCCCCAAATCAAATAAATAAGTAACACAAATAAAATAAATCTCTTCATATAAACAAACTAAGGCTTTGTCTGTGCTCTTTCCATTTAAAATTAGAGGCAACCACTGCATTTTAATCATGATCCAAACAAAGATGCTGCATACATGCAACATGAGCAGTTTTTAATCTAAATTACATTGTATCATTTCGACATTTGAAGCAAAAACAGAATGGTTTGACTTCAGTTTTGTGATACTATGCATACAAAATATCTGCATGAAACAGAAACAGCAGACGAGCTGAATGAGACGCAGATTCACTCTCTGCCAGCAGGTGGCGCTTAAAGCGTTTCCTTGGTTTCCACTGTAAACAAAGCAGTGCTGCACTTATGAACTTTAATATGCATTATACAGAGGCAAGAGGAAAAGAAAAAATAAAAGACAGTAAGTTCCCCTCAGACATACATTCATATAAACTCCTACCCCTAATTGAATCGCGATTTGTTTAGCATCTCAACCGATTTGAATCATCACATATTTAAATCGATTTTCAACCGGCTCGCGGTTAATCGTTACATCCCTAATACATATAAAAATCATATATTTTTATTGTTGTTATTACTATTATTATTATAATTTCTTTTATTACTCACAGAAAACTATGTGGAAAATTTGGGGCAAGAAAAAATATAACATTTTATATTCTTATGAAAATATATTATTATTATTAGTGCTGTCAAACGATTAATCGCATCCAAAATAAAAGTTTTTGTTTACATAATATATGTATGTGTAGTGTGTATATTTATTATGTATATATAAATACACACACATACAGTATATATTTAGAAAATATTTACATGTATATACATTTATATATTTATATTCTTATATTATATATAAATATGTTTAATATATAAACATAACATATTTTTCTTAAATATATACATGCATGTGTTTGGATTTATATATACATACTGTAATAAATAAACAAAGTATGCAGACATATATTATGTAAACAAAAACTTTTATTTTGGATGTGATTAATCACGATTAATCGTTTGACAGCACTAATTATTATTATTATTATGCAGTAATACTTTTCTGGTATGAAGTTAATTTGATCAGTTCATCAAATGTGCTTGCCTTTAAAAAATTCCTGAAAAGGAATTAATTTCTACGTAAGTCAGACCATTACTACTTTGGAAAAGAAAGAGCCTCCTGATTGAAATTCTTGCCTTTTATGAATCCTCAGAATAAATTGATTCCTTAGAATAAAACCGAAGTGTTCTATGAATTGGAAAAGACCCTGTGTGTCTGTGTGTAGGGTGATATAGTGTCCTGTGCTGGCACCTACATCCATGTGTGGAGCATCAATGGAAGTCCCATCGCCAGCGCCAACACTTTCACCGGCCGGAGCCAACAAATCCTCTGCTGCTGCATCTCAGAGATGAATGAGTGGGACACACAGAATGTTATCGTTACGGGACACTCCGACGGTGTTGTCAGGGTAATGGTCTTCTCCTTAATTTACTTTCTTTCTTTTCGCTCTGTCTCTTTTAAAGTGTCAACAGATAACGGTTCTTGACAAATGGCTTTATCTTGTAGTTCTGGAGAATTGAGTTCCTCCAAGTCCCAGAAACCCCTGCTCCAGAGCCTGTAGAGCCCCCCGATGTGCCAGACTGCTGTGGAGAGATTGGTAAAACATCCCTCCATTGCACCTTTTTCATGACTTTTGGAAAGATGACATGAAAACATTAAATAAGCCAACTAATGTATAACATTTTGATCAATTTTAGCCTGCACTCTGCATTACCGCAATTTCTTCTGACTTTTAGATGATCTTTTCAGATGAAATAACCTCAAGTCTTGTTCTTCCAGAGGGTCGTGATGCTCCAGAGGATGACAGCAGTGAGTCTGAAGGAGAGGAAACCAGCCTCAGTCAGGACCCTAAACCTCGGACCTCAAACAGCCAGCCCAGCAGCACTGTCCACAGACCCAAACCTCGCACCGGTGCCTCCTGGTCGGTGGACAGCAGCTCTGACGACTCCCGCCGCTGGTCGGACACACTCAGTATTGATGAGAAGGATGGCTTTGTTTTTGTAAACTACTCAGAGGGCCAGATTAGAGCGGGAATTCCCTCACAGCCACATTTACAACCGCACTCAGCACCCTCGCATGGGCCAGTACCACAGCCTCTTCAGCCCAGTACTATGGAGGCTCGGTCATACAACAAGCTCAAACCAGGTGCAGTAGATTAAAAAAAGTCGTGACATTTAGCGTTTTAAAAAAAAAATTTAAATTTGTATGTAATTCTAATTTAATTTAATAAAATTTTTGTTGATTTACTGATTTAATTTAATTTTAAATGTTTTAAAATTATTTTATTCTAATTTTAAACAATTTTAAACAGCCTCATGGGCAGAACAAATAGTGCGATTGCTCTTTGGGTGACCCGAGTTTGAGTCCTGGCTTAGGGGCCTTTCTCAATTCTGTCCCCCTCTCTCTTCCACTTCACTTCCTGTCAGATTCTGTGCTGTTCTGTCTCAGTAAAAGTAAAATTGCCAAAATAGATCTATAAAAAACAAATTTCATTGCATTGATTAAAATTGCAAAGATGATATAAAAGTATTAAGGTATTAAATAAGCTAAATAATAAATAACATTTTGATCAGTTTGATACATTTACTAATTTAACTAATCATTTAAATTGTCAATTAAATTGTATTAATTTAATTGGTGTCCTTCTAATTTAATACATTTTCATTACAAATTATATCATCGGAATCACAGTTTACATGAAAAGTTAGGATGTAAACCAAAGTGAGAGCAGTAAATCTTTGATTTGAATTTTATCACAATGTGCTGTATTTCTAATTCACAGATTTCAGAAGTGTGTGCTCTTAAAGGTCCCATATTGTCAAAACTGAAATTTCCTGGCTTTTTTCATGATAACTGAGGTTCTAGGTGCTATGTAACTACCATATAAGTTTCAAAACAGTCAGTCCACAGTAAAATTCACACAGCCTGCATAAAGTAGCTGTGATTTTTCACGAACCGTTGTGACTTCCATAAAAAGTTGACGTCAGAACTACACAGTCACCGCCTTCAGTCACCACCCCGAGCTCCGCCCATAGTCCCACTCGTCGATTCTGGCACCCAACATCACAACAAGACGATATTTTAAGCTAGCTAGCTCTGTGACGTCGGCTGACCCTAGTTAGCTGTGGTTGGCCTGGCCGTGCGTCACTCAGAACACAACAGGCCAATCAGAAGAGAGGCTCATGAATATTAATTAGACAGCCCAAAATCGACCTGTTCTCAGCAGAGCTCCTGAGAAAGGAGCTGTAAAAATATATTGAGATGGTTTTTGGTACTTATACCGCAAATATATATTCTTAAGGACATCAAAACCTAAAATAAAACTCCAGAAAGTTTTGCATTTTTCATTGTCATTCAAGTGCTGTTCCCTTGTGTTTTTGCTTTAATGTGAGCAACTGGCATGTTCTTCACCGTTAGCTTTGTCTCTTAAACAGGCTACAGATGGGAGAGACAGCTGGTGTTCCGGAGCAAACTCACCATGCACACAGCGTTTGACCGCAAGGACAACGCTCATCCTGCGGAAATCACCTCGCTTGCCATTTCAAAGTAGGTGCTCTGTGTTTGTGGTGGAATGAGGATAAAAGAGAAGCTGGTTTCTAATGTGGTTTAACATTAATATGCCAGTGTTTGCTCAAATATCTCAAATAAATCGTCTTTAAACAAGACTGTTGATAACCAGCTGTTCTTGTGTACTCAGAGACCACAGTAAGATCCTGGTAGGCGACAGCCGTGGCCGCGTGTTTAGCTGGTCTGTCAGTGATCAGCCCGGACGCTCTACCGCAGACCACTGGGTGAAGGACGAGCAGGTGGACAGCTGCTCTGGATGCACTGTGCGTTTCTCCCTCACTGAAAGGCGCCACCACTGCAGAAACTGTGGCCAGGTCTTCTGCCAGAAGTAAGACAGATTTGCAATAATATTTATAATATGTGAACTAAATACCTTTTAAGTGTTATTTGTTTTTTATTTATTTTTAATACCAATTGGAAAATGTCTGCAACTATTTTTTGTTTGTTGTTTCTTTTCTTTCTTTTTTTTTGTACTGTTTTGGTTTTATTGTTTTTGTTTTTTATATGCTTGTTTTTTTTCTAAACCAATTGAGAAAAGACCACTGTAATTTTTTGTTTTGTGGTTTTTGATGTTTTTTTTATTTGTGTTTTAGTAAGCTGTGTTGCATAATATTTAAATAACTTTTTTATGTCTAAACTAATTGGATAAAGACCACTGCAACTTTTGTAGTTTTTTAGTTTTTGTAGTTTGCGTTTTATTTGTTTTAGAAAATTTTGTGCTGCGTTATCTTTAGAATCTCTTGAAAGGGTTTTAAAATTTGTTGCTTGTTCCCACAGGTGTAGTCGCTTCCAGTCAGAGATCAAGCGGCTGAAAATCTCCTCTCCTGTGCGTGTGTGTCAGAACTGTTACTACAACCTGCAGCATGAGCGAGGCTCTGAAGAAAGCCCGAGAAACTAGTTCACCCTCACCCCACATCACATGCCCAAAGCCCAAAATCCCAACCACCCTCAAAAAAAACAAAACATTTCACTGCTCCCCATGCAAAATCTCATTGGTCAGAATCTCCTAAATGGCATCACCAATGCTCATAATTTCATACACTGCAGAAGTGTGACCATTCAAAAGAGACTATTGTTAGTTTACTTTTCCATTCATGCATTTTCTTTTGCAGTATGCTCCGTCATCTAATTGGAATCATCCACAAAGTCGGCATTATGTTTAGATATTAGAAAAAGCAATGCGTATAAAACGCTTCCTGATGAAACGAGATAACACTTGTTTATATTGTAAATACTTACAATGGCATTTTTAACTAGAAACAGTGAAACAAAAAGTCATTATTAAGAGATAAAAGAAGAAATCAAAACACATTGCTTGTAATATAGTATTACAGTATGTTAAAAATCACTCTTGGCTTTAAAAGAACAAAACTGCGAGTGTGTGTGTGTGTGTAGTCGTTGTCACAAGTCACAGCCTCCCAGCGGGAATAATATTGGGGACTATGAATGTTGATAAATGTTTGTGGGTTGACATTGCAAATGACATGCAAATGCTTAGTTATGTTTATTTGATATGTTCTGTTGTGTTGCCCACAGTATCAGTCAGTTGCCATAGACAACTTTTTCCATTTAAAATTTGTTGCCAACCTGCCTTTATATGCAACTATTATCTTATTTTAACAGTTGTGTAGGTCAATGAAAGTATGTAAATGTTGAACTTAGATTAAAGACCACTTTAAATTATTTTTTTTAATGACAGGATTCATTCAACCTTTAAATGATTCCACCACATTTGTTATGCGACAGAAGACAGAAATGTTTCTAACCAATTGAAAGACTGTAATATCAAACATGCTTCTGAAGTGTCATTTATTTCATATTGGATGTTTCACATCTGTAAATTTTGCATTAGTGTGGGACTTCTCTGACTAATTCTTCATCTGTTATTAACTAATATGCATTAGACAACTTAAATGTTACTCTCTGGCACTAGCTTAAAAATTATGGTTTTGTTTTTAGTAAAAACATGCATTTATTCTTATTCTTAAAAAAATCACTATTTTAACCGTTTGCGATGTTGCACCAGTGTAAATGTCTGTAGATTAGGAAAGCAATAGTTACTGATGTTTTCACTCCACACACATTTCACGAAAGACCGTAGCTTGAATGTTATCATGTGTACAGAAAAATGGATTTAACCATTTTAATGGACTGGAAGCCTAGTTTCTCCTTACCTTAGACAAAACTATGAAAGAGAAAGTTTTTTTTTTCTTTTTCTTTTTGATACTGTGGGCAATACCCTATCAAAAGTGCTGCTTTGATTAATGGAGAGAATTTCTTTTTCTTTCTTTAAATGGTCTGACACTTGCAACTTTAAAAAGATGAACCATTGCAGTTGTTTTATTCACTGTTGTATGATTTCCGTACAGCCTAATATGCACTCCTTATAGTTTAATTATTCTATATTAATGTACTGTAATTCAGCGTGCAATCATAACATCATAAAGCTGTTGGGATTTTGCTGTCGACAAGCAGCTCAAAGATCAAATGGCTATATCAATCTGAAATTATTTTTGCACCTTGACATGTAGAAAAGACAAAGAAATGGAGTAATCGCTGTTTTATCAGATGCATTTTTATGTTGTGGGGTATTATTTTGAAAGGGTGCATTTCTTTACAGTAAGATGAACTGTACAAAGTATTTATGCAATTATTTTGTTTTCTTTTTTATGATTTTTCAGCAAGTTTGGTTACTTGTTGCATGTCTAACACAGCTGACTTTCTGTGTCAGTGTATTGTACATGTTTTGGCATTATGTTTTATTTGTTTTCTCTTTCTTTGGCTCATTTTTATGGCGTTATCTAACGAGTCAATCCTGAGGGTTTTGTGTACAGCTTTAGGTGGATATACAGAGTGTCCCACGACTCTTTTGGTTTTTGACTTTTTGTACTCTAATGTATGGATGTTGAGGACTGATCCCGGAACTGATGAAATACACATGGATTGTCCCTGTTTGGTGGTCTAGTGATAGACTGCATTACTACAGTATCTAGTGTGCAAAACTGGTAGCTGAATGTTCATTGTATATTTGTGTTGAAAAACAATTACAGGAACCCCTCCCCCATAAATAACCCCTATACTGTACCTGTTATTATGACACAATAGATATGGTACTCATACCTTTTAATTTAATTTCAATTAAATACTTGCTGTTTACCACCACCATTGTCCTCAGACAAGTTCTTTCCATCATTTATTGCAATGTAGTGCAAAAATATATAATCTAGAAATCTAGGAACTTGGCTATAATCGGAGATCTTCGGAAAATATATAAAACTACAGGACGCATATGATTTCATACTTTTGAAATTGACTGAATTGCATCAAAGCAGTTAAATGCATTGTGTTTAATCAATGCTTTAAAACAGACAGCATTAATTGTGCTGGAAACTAACATGTTTGTCCTGATCACTTAAGAACAGCTACAACAAAGCCCAGTATTAAGTCTCTGATGGAAGCTTCTTCTGACTTCTTGCGACATGCATGGTTAAATTTGGGTGTCCAGTAAACCACTCGCCATCTTGAGAAAGCAAGTTACAGACAGTGTTGCAATCTGAGTGACATGCCAAAACCACACATTTGTTTGCTAGCAATTTATATCCTTTAATAATATAAAGTTAACAAACATGCTTAGGACACAGAAATTACAAAATGATTAGTGCTGTCAAAACGATTAATAGCATCCAAAATAAAAGTTTTTGTTTACATAATATGTGTGTGTGTACTGTGGATATTATGTATATATAAATACACACACATACAGTAAATATATTGAAAATATTTACATGTATATATTTATATTCATATAATTTATATTGTATATAAATATATTTAATATATAAACCTAACATATTTTTCGGAAATATATAAATGCATGTGTATGTATTTATATATACATATTAAAAATATATACAGTACACACGCATATATTATGTAAACAAAAACTTTTATTTTGGATGCGATTAATCGCCATTAATCATTTGACAGCACTAAAAATGATTAATGTAAATATGAACTGGAATATAATAAAGCATCATGATGAAACAATGTATTCCAGTTAGTGTTAAAAAAAATAATAATAACATAATTACTAACCTAAGTAAAATTATTCTCTACCACTGTTTTAGCATATAGGCCTATTATTCTTATTACACACTAGGCAGATATACAGAAATGAAAATTTGGTTGTCACTATATACTGAATTTAGTTGTAGCCAGGATACGGATATTTTCATGCTTGGGATAGTTCACCTAAAAATAAAAATTCTGTCATCATTTACTCATCCTCCACTTGTTCCAAACCTTTCATTTGTTGAACACAGAAGAAGATATTTTCAAGAATGGTGGTAACCAAAGAGTTGACTTTGTTCCATAGTATTTTTTCCCATACTGTGTCAACTGTTTGGTTACCACCATTAAATTAATGGGGGAAAAAAAGGTGGCTCATGTTAAACAAAAGAAGAAAAAAGTTATTCAGCTTTGGAATGGCATAAGGGTGAGTAGGTAATGACGGATATTTCATTTTTGGCTGAACTATCCCTTCAAAGGAGCATCAGTTTAATAGCATACTGTGTGTAAGCTACCAGGACAATGTCTTTCCACAACTAAAAACGGTTGGATGTGACTTCACAATATAATAATAAACTCAGTTTATCATCATGATGACTTGACAAGAAGAAACCATCACATTTGGACTGTCGTGGGAGTTTTGAGGAGTGAAGTAGGGCTGGGAATCGATTCCAAAAAGAATCGATTCCTCGATTCCGAGGCGTTGGGAATCGAGAGTCGATTCCAAAGGTTGGAATCGATTCCATCAAGAGGAATCGACTCCTAATTCAGAGCCGTTTTCAGCTCAACAAAGCTTATCTATGGGTACCTCTCAAACGGAAGGCTGCACACATTTAAATTCACGAAAATAAACTGAAAGAAAACGAGTCCGTACTGAGATCATCTGAATTTTAGGATGCAGCCTTCCGTTTGAGAAGCACCATTCGCCTCCCTCGTGCTCGCTAAAAGTGATTAGAATTCTGATTAGTTTCCTGAATCTGATAGATAGTTTTAATGAACCAGTTCAAAAAACGATTCAGAGTTTTACGGTGGTAACGTTACTGGCTTGTCCACAATTTTGAGCGCTGCACGACAGAATAGATCATGACGTGATCGAGGGTCTTGATCTTATTTCCATCTAAAATACTTTTTTTTTTTTTTAACATTTCTACCAGCCAATGATAATTATAAAAGAAAACATCCCGAGCATAGATAAACCACGAGCTCTATCAGTTATTGTTAATGTTCTGGTTATTTTGTTTCAGTGTACAGCGTGTTAATTTTGTGCAAAGCATGGGCCTACAGTCAAAGTAAACTTCATCATTCAGCTGAACTGTGCACATTTATTAGACACTTCATGTCTTGTTCAATTCATACGATAAACGCATGTCCCTGTTGAGCTGTGTGGGCTATGACTAATTTCACGGGCAAAGCAGACAAAATTACAATTTATTTAACGTCGTTTTTTTTAATTATTTTTTTTATATATATACAAATAAAGCTTCGTGTTATGAGATGGATACTTTCTACGACCTTTATCCTGCAGTCATGGTGAGATTATAGGTTCCTTCAATAAAAAAAAAAACAAGAATCGAGAACAACAGTGAGGAATCGATTATTGGAATCGATTCCCATCGATTCCAGAACCAGGAATCAGAATCGGACTCGATTCCAAAAATTTCGGAATCGAACAGCCCTAAAGTGAAGTGCGCTGAGCTCCAGCCGCAGAGTGGAGCAGTGTTTCCTCTTTACGTTGAGTCACTGGATGAGTGAGAGAGCTAGAGAGAGAGAGAGAGGTTGGTCTCTCACTTAACTAACAAAACAGCAGCAGATCTGCGGGCATAAACAAATGCACGCAGGCTGTCTGTCCCTCCACCTGCCGCGGGAGACACTTTGATGGTCGTAGTAGGTTAAATTAACCGGATTACCGAGAACCCCGCTCTGCTTTATTTTAACGTGGACCTCCGACGATATCTATGCATTATTTAGACTGAAATAAGCCAAAAATGACGGAGCTGAGACGGCGAGGAGGAGGAGGAGACCCTGACAGCACTGAAAACATCAGTGACAAGGTAATTTATAGAGCACACGCTCATTCAAAAGGCTTTATTTCTCTCAGTCGACTGCGAATGACCTTCTAGCTAAGCAGCTAGCGAGCAACCAGTCAGACCGCTTCAACCTGAGAAGATATTACACAAAAACAACTTGTTTAAGGCGATATTAGGATTTTATATGGCGACTTTTGCGTTCGGGGACTGTCTCTTTAATATATTTCATCTTAAACTGTCGGTTGCCTCGGGAAGTTGCTGAGCCAAACACACTGCAAAGCCACAGTGTCAGTGGCTGTGTCGCAAACCCTGTTGAGTTGCCTACCTAGACAGCATTTTTGGTAGACGCGTCTGGAACGTTCTGAGTATTTTGACTGAGCATCTCTCTCATTTAGGGCCTGTTTACACCTGGTCATTTCATGCGTTTTCGCGGATCGGATATCTATCTGATTTGTTAAAACGTTTCCATTTACACTTGGCCACAAATGTGTCGTTGCAAAACGGATTTAAATCCGATCTTCAATTCCCGCGCTATATTTAAAGCTGCAGTCCGTAACTTTTTTTGGTTAAAGATGATCCGAAATCAATATTTGAGCAAGACAGTACATAACCAGCCAGTGTTCAAAACTATCGCCTTACTGTAGCCCAATTCACAACGGTTAGCTTATAATAATGTTTTCTAATTTGAGTGGTACGGGTAGGTTTACGGGGGAAATTCGAGCATGGCACTGCGTCGTTACGTCACGTCTATCCATAAAGGATTATGTGTTTATGAAACACATGTGAATGAAATTAAATTATATTCCAGTTTTAAATGTGCTTCTGATTACAGATTAGCCTGGGATTAAACAAGATTTGTATTTTAAAGAAAACCAGTTCGAAGGGAGCATAATTTGCTTTTTGGTTTAAAAGAATTTCTTAATATGAAATTCGAAGAGTATGACATTGAAATATACACGCTAATACACACTATAGGCTACTCATAGTCACCAATGCTGTTGTTGTTAACATTAATCATTTGAGAATAAAGTATAACAATAATAATAATTTTAACGGTTTGATGTGATATGAGCTAACCGATCTTTAGATTTAATCACCATTGGTAGCGAGATTTATGGTAATGCTTTTTGCCTCAGTTGGTCAGAACAAACGTGGCAGACTTGTTACTTACTTGTTCAGATGGCAATATATGGTGAAAATTCTTATTTGGGTCATATATTCCAAGACGTAGGCTAGAATCTGTGATTGCGAAGGACAGTAAATATCCACACCTGACTGCCACACATACTCTTCAGAACATTAGATTCACCCGTGCTGGAGCCGTGCCGACTCTCAACCCACGCAAGGAAGATAATTCCGCACACAGCTGCAATTCCAGGTTTTCAAACAGAGATGGCGACAACAAAAACCGCAATAGGAGAGCGCGCGGCATCAGCACTGGAAAGATAAGTTTGTCTTACTACTTTTAATGAAGATGATGGATCCTTTTCACAAGACTGTGATGACGCGTTTAATGGTCATCAGCATTGTAAATCCTCGAAAGTTTTTCATATTTGTATTTTTTTTAAAACTTGTGTACATTTATAACACTATTCTTTGTATTATATCACCTTTGCATCAAGTTACAAAAAAAACAGTTAACGCTAATGCGAGGGTGTTTCTAATGCAGTGTCTATGGGAGGGACGGTAAATTTGACATCGTTCTCTCTTCTGACAGCCGTTATCTGTCTCTCTCAATTTTTTTCCTTTTATTGAAAGTCATGAAAACACTATCGTGGAGTTTTTCTTTAGCTATTTGAGCAAATGGGAATGCAAAAAATATATTTGTGGTACTCTCCCATTCACTGCTCTTCAAGTTAACCCAACTATGACGACTTCCGCTGCTGAGAAGCCCGGAAATGTGAAAAAGGTCCATTGGAACATCTCAATAACTTCACTAAACCTGCTCACGGCAAACTGTGTAGCTGAGGGATTCTGTTTCACAGTACCTTTTTGTAAAATAAATAAATACAAAAAAGCCTTCATGTAAAGAAAGATATAAATATTCTCAATGGTTTGCTGATACTGAAATATTTCATCTCTCCCTCTGTCACCTGAGGTCCAGAACTGTCGTTTTCGAGTCCTTCACCACAATGTGCTTGCAAATCTGCAAACAGAAAAAAACTGTTTCACTT